ACAATTAATTATAAGTTGAATATAATTATTATAATCTTAGAAACATAAATGAAAATGACTTACATTGCCCACAATTGTATGATGGAAATGTTTAACATGCAATTTCCCCGACAATTTCTAAAGCATCGGGCAAGGAAATGTACGATGGAACAACTGGAATTGTCAATTCCAAACACTCTAACATCCCATTGTATCGACACGGTCTCTTCCTCAGCCAGTGGTAATACGGCTAACAACATAGAGATGGGATCATCATCACATTACGTCGAGATCCTCATCAATAATAGGTTGCTTTTTATGCTTAGCACGACGCAAGTCCTCCTAAACAAATGATAACAATTAATTAAACATTTATATAATTATAATACTAGAAAAGAAGTAAATAGACAATATGTATATATATATATATATATATATATATATATATATATATAGTACTTAGTCTGTGTGATAGTGGCATAACCAAACGTCTTGGCCAAGCCAAGAATGTCCGCTTGCCTGCCCCACTAATTGAATCTCTTCATTAGGAAAAGGCAACTTGGAGCATTAGCATCATTAACTTCATCAACTACTACTCGTGTCGGTCATGGTCTGTAGAGGGACACCATGGATGGTTAAGCCACCCTCAAAAACTCGACCAACGACCACTAGACGCGGGGGTCATCTTCGACATATAACTCACCTTGGTGTGATGCATCGATCACGAGTATATTCTCTGAAGGATCAACGGTAGTAGCGGCACAACTCCCTTTAGTGCTGACTCGAACAATATCATGTTCAATTGTTTGAGGTGTTCCTTGAGTGCATTCTTTGAGAGCGGGCGAGAGATTCAATTTTCTCATCAAACTCTTGCTTGCAAGGATTGCCTTATTTGATTTAACTTTTCTTCAAGCTGCATCTCCATTTTATGCAAGGCCTCCATGGCTGCAAGAGTCGGCGAGTGGTCCTTCGTGATGTTGGACCAAAGTAATCACGAAGGCCCCAGGTTCCACCGGCACCACGCACACGTCTGAGTAATGCTGGTTTTCCTATGGGCTGCTGCCAATATATCTTGTCGACCATGAGGAATAAATGATCCTTGGGTGAGTGCTGCTCAACTAAATCATCCTACAACACATTAACAATAATTAAGTCATACACTAACTTTCAAATTAAAATCAATTCAAATTGACATTATAACTTACGATTTTACGAGCAATGATTCGTGCGGACTCGAAGTCATTTGTCCATCGAGATTTTGTCGAGCTGCCTTCCACATCGATAGCGAGGGGTGGAGATGCAAGGTCGGTAGAATCAACTCCTGCGACTCTTCTCCGGATTTCATGAGACGTTGCTCCAATAATGCATACCCTCCTCGTGACAATACATGAGGTGCATCATTCAACCTCGACGTTGTTGGGCGGCTTGTCTTTTATCACTGCCAAGAGGGTCCATTCGAGCTGGCACAAAGCTGTAACCAATCCTCCTCACTAATTTGATACTTTAGACGGGAGATTCATCTCGAAACTTTCCAAATACATACTCCAGTGTCAAGAAAGTCTTAAAGTCCCTCCATCTAATGGCAATGGAGGATAAAATCTTCTTCCTCATCACCTCGGTGTTAGGAACATCAAAATTTTGCTATGAAATGACCAATAAATGTTAAATTCAATTAATAATGATATATAAAGTATTCAACAAATATAGAAATACACGAACATCACTGCCACATGAGGTTCTTCTCGGTTTCCTCAACATCATCCCAAGATGGAGTAGTAATCGGAACATGGTGTCGAGCTAGTAGTCCCAAATAGCTCTTAAACTTAGCGGCATTTGGGCCGGATGCCTTACCAGAACGTGGATCAACTTCAACTTGAGTTTTCTCTCTAGCTACCCTCCTTCTTTGTCAACCCCTTTAGCAGAGTGACGAGATCTACCTTTATCACCACTTCAGCTCACCTTACTTGCCACTTACCACTTCCGATTACCAGTTGTGGAATCAGACATATCCTGAAAAACAAAACAATATGAAGTCAACATACTTTATAAGTTTGAATAAAAAGAACTAGAAAATGTGAAGATAAACACCTATTATGTTGGTATGTTTTCCCATATCCCTTCATCATGATCACTTCGAATTGCATGTATGTCATCAACTTCATTGTCAACTATGTCATCAAATGGTCTACTTGAAAATGAAGGTGTTTCATGTATATCTAGAGACTCATCTTCATGAATTCCGTGCATGCTTCTTCCTTCTAGGACAATTGACCATCTCTCATTACATGGATCCTTGACATAAAATATTTGTCTCGCTTGATATGCCAAAATAAAAGGTTCATCCTTATACCCAACTTTACTCAAATCAACCAAAGTAAATCCTAGGTCATCTGTTCGCACACCAGTATTCCCTTCAACCCATTTACACTTGAAGACAGGCACCCTAAAAGTAACATAATCAATTTCCCATATCTCTTGTATGACCCCAAAATAACTCATAGAAGGCTTGTGATAGGATTTTTGTCTTTAGAACTAGAAAAATGCATAGATTCAGCTTGAATTGTGACCCCACTATTTTGTACTCTACCTTTATCATCTTCTATTTTTGAGTAGAAACAATAGTTATTAATGTCATACCCACCAAATGTAATGACATCACTATTAGGCCCACGAGCAAGTCTCAAAAGTGTTTCGAAGCATTAATCTCAACATATACCCTTTTTTAAACCAAGAAAGGAAACTTTTGTTATGTTCATTCAATACCCATTTTCATTCATTCGTGGATGTGTTGCCTTTATTTCAGTTATGTGTTGTTATGTTCATTCAATACCATAAACAAACAAGTGATCACGTATATCCTCAAGTTTATGACGAATTTGATTCAAACAACGAACACATGGACAATAATATGTCCCTTTCATAGCTTTTCCATTTTCACTAGCAAATTTCAGAAATTCCTCAACTCCCTTTTCGTACTCTTCACTAATACGACGTGCATTCATCCAACTTCGATTCATATTATGTTATAAAGTTTCGTCACTCCTAAAGATTTAAAAATTATATGTAAAAAAAAATTAATATACAAACAACAAAGCACGTTCCAACAACAATGGAGTGTGTAAACCGAATGCACTCAAACAAATAAACAAATAACTGCATTCCAATAACAATCCAGTGGAGACATTCATACTATAACGTGATTGAGATCCCCAAAAACAATCACGGATTCAATGTAAACATATAGCAATGACAATGAACACTAACCTCGAGTGTAGACGAAAGCTGATTTCAAACTCGAATCCAATCGGGGAGAAAGATGAAGTTCGTCAAATGACACGACAATGTAGATGTTTTTCATCTGTAAAGCGCTCGCAAATGGTGTGCGAGAGGTAGGCTGTTGTCGTTGTTCTCGTCGTCGTTCTCAAAAACCACTGGTTGCGCGAGACGAGGAAGTGGGGCTGGGAGGGAAATAAAATAGACTTTTTACGTCGCGCGGTGTAGTAAGCGACGTAAAAGTCATCTTTACGTCACACCTGGGAGGCGCGACGTAAAAGATGGCCTTTTACGTCGCGTACGGGGGCGCGACGTAAAAGCTAAGGCTTTTACGTCGCGTCCCCGTGCGCGACGTAAAAGGCCATCTTTTACGTCGCGCCTCCCAGGTGCGACGTAAAAGATGACTTTTTACGTCTCCTATTGGGGTGTGCGACGTAAATTTTTTGTCCCATATTTACAAAATTGCCACCGCGTTTTATTTACGTCGAATATACGTGCATGCGACGACAATTGGGTGACGTAAAAGCCATATTCTGCACTAGTGTGGTCTCCTGCTCACTGTCGGACTCAGTCCATTCGCCTTCCGTTTCCGAGGTCTACGAAGATTCATCAATCACAGGCATGATGTGTTTTAGGTTCTGTTTTAGTCATAGATTTTATTATTCATTTTATTTTTTGAAAGAATAATAAATAGAACCAGGAAAAGAAAGAATATGACAAAATGCCTCGTATATTAATGGAAATGAGAATGTATTTACATGCCCTTTTAATCAAAAATTCTTGTGGTCGCGGGCGGGGACCACAAGAGATGTAGAGAAAAGCTTAAAAAAGAAACCCTAGGGCTGATCCTCCTAGTCCTCCCTCTCTGCTACTCTGGCTTCGACAGAGGTTTAACATCGGTGCTGGAAGCAGAGGCATCGAAGGTTATCCAACCAGCGTCGATTAATTCTTGGACCTTATATTTCAAGGTCAAGCAGTTGTCGGTTGAATGCCCTGGTGCATCCGAGTGGTAGCTACATTTTTCATTGGGCTTGTACCACTCGGGATAGGGAGGCTCCAGCTGCTTCTTGGGAGGAACGCGGGCCAGGAGGCTGGCTTCCAACAGTTGGGGCAGCAGCTTTGCATAGGAGGTGGGGATAGGCGTGAACTTCCTCTCCTTTTTTCGTGGCTGCCGCTCTGTCTGAAGGGTAGAAGAAGGAGTTGCGAAATTGATGGCGTGCACAGCTTCTTCCTTCTTCTTGAAGGGCTTCTTGAATGATGTGCTGGAAGAAAAAGGTCGCGCTATTTTGCCATTCTTCAGCCCTTGCTCCACTCTTTCTCCCACAGTGACTATGTCCGAGAAGAGGTTGGAGGTACTGGCTATCGCCTTATCATAGTACGCTCCAGTTAGTGAGTCTATGAACATAGCCACTGTCTCCTTATCCGTCAAGGGAGGTTCTATTTGGGCAGCCAATTCCCTCCACCTCTGGGCATACGCTTTAAAGGGCTCGTCGTTCCTCTTGTTCAGCGCTCTAAGATCTGACCTATCGGGTGTCAGATCGATGTTGTATCGGTAACGACGGAGGAAAGCGTCCGCCAGCTGTTTCTAGTTCCGGACCTGCCCTCTCTCCAACCGCATGTACCGGTTGTCGTGTCCGCCGAGACTCTCCTGGAAGCAATGGATCGGGAGTTTCTCGTTGTCGGCATGGGCGGCCATCTTACGACAATACATCGTAAGATGGTTCTTTGGGCAGAGTCATCCCGCGTACTTAGGGAAGTCCGGGATTTTGAATTTGGGAGGGAAGCGAGATGTCCTTCACGAGGCACATGTCGGCTACCTCCTTGACGTCGAAGTTATGCCCTTCGACCGCCTTCAGCCTCTCCTCCAGGGCGGAGAGTTGTTGTTTGGATACTTCTGGGGTAAGGATGCGTGTAGTCTTAGCATCCTTCCCGCCGAAGAAGTATTCCTCCTCCTCTTCCTCATGAGGAGGGACATTTTCAGCTTGGCCCTCGCCATCCTTGTTTTGGCCTTGGCGTATGACCTCCATCAGTTGGGCTACCTGCTCCCGGAGGGTATCGACTTCCGCAGAAAGTTTTCGGTTCTGCTCCTCTAATTTTTCCATCGCCTTTACTTTTTGTGCACGAGTACGAGCAGGGAGAGGACCAGCCACTTTCTAGAATGTCCGAAAAAGTTTTATTAATGCATGTTGAGTGCTTAAACTAACATGAGTATGCTTATGCATGAGAGGTTCTATTTACATGATGCTGAATGTGCTCTCATTTTTATTTTTCTCTCTTGGTTTTTCTTTACTCATGATATGGTGTAGTATGGATGAGCTGACTTTGTCAGAAGTTGTTTATTCATTTTTTTTGTATTTTTTGTATTTTTATTTGACGTTTTATTTTATAGCCTTTTATCTCTTCTGTCGGAACTGCGTGGCTACTTAGCTTACAAAGAACCTGAAACCAGGCTAGCTAAAAGGCAGACTGTCCGAGATAAAATGTGGCTTTATGCGAAAGAATATTTAGCGTCCCTTATCTCTTCTGTTGGAACTGCGTGGCTACTTAGCTTACAAAGAACCTGAAACCAGGCTAGCTAAAAGGCAGACTGTCCGAGATAAGGGTGTTTATTTGTAAAATATTTTTTTGGTGATTTTGTTCTGTTGTTTGTTTATGCTATGCAACATACAAATGCAACAATCATATGCACACACAATTCGATCATCCCCGAACAGGCGAGACTTCGTTTTTATCACGAGGTAGGGTTTTCCTGCAGAAAGGTGCATTGGTTAGGGTAGGTTCTAACTGTTCTCACCAGGCTAAGGCCCCCAAGGTGCCCCCATTATAGGGTCCCCACTCTCCAGCCATCCAACCATGCTCAACACTAAGGCCAGAGTCGGTCTTGTTGCCAAAAGAGGAAGGTTATCACCTTTAGTGGTGGTTTCCGATCACACTGGTGGGCACAAGACCCTAACTGCAGCGAACCGTACCTGCCACCCACTCCCTATCACTAGTGGAAAAATAGCTTTCTATGACGGGTTTTTATCACGGTCGTAATCCACCCGTCATAGTATGTGGCGCGGTGGCAATTTTGTAATAAAATCATAAACTTTCTATGTCGGGTAAGTTTTAACCGACATAGTAAGTGGAAAGGTCACTTTCTACGTCGGTTAAAATTTACCCGACATAGAAAGTTAACTTTCTATGTCGGGTAACATTTACTCGACGTAGAAAATGAACTTTCTATGTCGGGTAAATTTTAACCGACGTAGAAAGTGTCTTTGATGACGGGTGTTAGGGCAACCGACATAGTATCTTCTGTTTTGCCCTCCCCCGCGCTCCATTTCATTTCATCACTTCCCCCCCACTCCATTTCATTTCATCACTTCCCCCCCATAGCAGAGCTCCCCTGTACGTTTCTCCCTACGCTCCATTTCCTTTCATCAGTTCACCCATACCAGAGCTCCCCCGTTCGCTTGTATACGTTTCTCCGCACCCACATTTGCTCGTCACGCCACCTGCCAACGCTTCGTGCCGCCTGCTGCTACTGGTGCCCGTCGCCTTGGATACGTTTCTCCCCACCCAGCTCTGCACGTCACGCCACCTGCCACCTCTGTAGGTCTTCAAGAGGTAAGTTTTCGTGCTTGCTTTAGCCAATGTAGGTTTACAGTATTGAATCTAGTAAGTAATAATGCTGTCAAGAGAGGGAAACATCACGGGTGCCTTTAGCTAATTTAGAGATGTATTGTAAGTAGTTTAGTCATTTGAATGTGTTTCTGTCGGCATTCTTTCGTGATTTTGATTTTGAACATTAGATTTGTATTATAATGTAGTTATTTTAAGAGTGGAGTTGGATTTCGTGTAGGCATTATAATGTAGTTATTTCGTGTTTACGTAGCTAATTTGATTTTGAAAATTAGATTTGTAACAATGGATCGAGTTGGATCAATTACGGACGAACAACAAATGAATATGAGAGTGGAGTAGAACAATTCCTTGAATTTGCTAAGATGAATGTTCCGGATAATGATGGAAGATTCTATTGCCCTTGTGTTAACTGCTTGAATGAGCGAAGATTACCGATCTGAAGTTATTCGGGAACATGTTCTTTGTGATGGTTTCCTAAAGAGTTACATAAAGTGGACATGGCATGGTGAATTATTAAACATGCTAAGTGTAGAAGACAAAGAAGAAGTTGATCTAGAGATGGATGATCAGCTGGAGGAAATGATTCGTGAGCTTGGACAAGATGCCTTCCAACACACACATGTGTACGAGAAGTTGTCCAATGATGCAAAAGAGCCTTTGTATACAAATTGTACTAAGTTCACACGATTGTCGGCGGTACTAAAATTGTTCAATGTGAAGGCAAAGAATGGGTGGACTGATAAAAGTTTCACAGAATTGCTTGAGTTATTGAGTGACATGCTCCCTGAAGGTAACACATTGCCAACCCGCAATTATGATGCTAAGAAGATATTGTGTCCAATGGGTATGGAGTACCAAAAAGTTCATGCATGTCCGAATGATTGTGTGTTGTACAGGAAAGAATTTGAGAACTGTCACGAATGTCCACAATGCGGGGAATCACGATACAAGAAGAAGGATGGTGATTCTGACAATGATGTTATGAAGGGTACCCCGACAAAAGTGTTATGGTATCTTCCCATTGTTCCAAAGTTGAAACGATTGTTCACTAATGGAAATGATGCAAAGCTCACTAGATGGCATGCAGATAGTCGTATTAAAGATGGTCAGTTGAGGCATCCGGCAGATGGATTGCAATGGAAAAAAATTGATTCCATCTTCCAGAATTTTGGTAATGATCCAAGAAACATTAGGTTTGGACTTGCTACAGATGGAATGAATCCATATGGAAATTTAAGCAGTAAACATAGTTCATGGCCTGTGGTGTTAGTTATTTACAACTTACCTCCGTGGTTGTGTATGAAACGTAAGTACTTGATGCTATCTTTGATGATCTCGGGTCCCAGACAACCTGGAAATGACATTGATGTTTTTTTAAGCCCATTGGTTGAAGAGTTGAAGATGTTGTGGGAGGAAGGTGTTGATGTGTTTGATGGGTACACAGGTGACTTATTCAAGTTGCGTGCAATGTTATTTTGTACAATTAATGACTTTCCAGCATATGGTAATTTGAGTGGCTACAGCACAAAGGGACATAAAGCTTGCCCGATATGTGAAGAAGACACATGTCACTATCAACTACAACATGGAAGGAAAACAGTGTACCTTGGACACCGAAGATTTCTTCCTTCAAACCATTCATATCGTAAATTAAAAAAATCATTTAACGGGTGTCAAGAAAATGATGCAGCCCCAACACCTTTAAGTGGGGAAGAAGTATATCAACGAGTAAGTGCAATTTCGTGTGAGTTTGGAAAGACGCAAAAGAAAGCCACAAGTATTTGGAAGAAAATGTCAATCCTTTTTGTTCTTCCATATTGGAGGGTTCTTGATGTGAGGCATTGTATAGATGTCATGCATGTAGAGAAAAATGTGTGTGACAGTATCATCGGAACACTCCTTAACATTCAAGGAAAAACAAAAGATGGTGTCAATCACTGCTACAGATATGCCTTTCAACGTCAGTTATATAAGGATTTCAACGTCGGTTATACAACCGACGTTGTATCAGGCGACGTTGAAAGTATACACTTTCAACGTCGGGTATAGATAACCGACGTTGAAAGTTTAGGCTTTCAACGTCGGTTATTCATACCTGACGTTGAAAAGTGTATATTCGTCGCTCAAGCGAGTACAATCGTCACTCAAGCGAAATGGAACCGAGAGTCCCCTTTGTTTGAAGCTATCGTCGCTTAAGCGAGTACACTCGTCGCTCAAGCGAGATGGAACCGAGAGTCCCCATTGTTTGAAGCTTTCGTCGCTTAGCGAGTACACTCGTCGCTCAAGCGAGATGGAACCGAGAGTCCCCTTTGTTTGAAGCTTTCGTCGCTTAAGCGAGTACACTCGTCGCTCAAGCGAGATGGAACCGAGAGTCCCCTTTGTTTGAAGCTTTCGTCGCTCAGCGAGTACGATCGTCGCTCAAGCGAGTACGTGTTTACTACGTCGGTTATGGTATGAGCCGACGTAGAAAGTCTATTTTTTTTTAAATGGACGCTTTGTTTATACGGGGTACCCAATGTTTGTATATATACATACTGCAAATTTGAATACAACCCAGGCGAGACAATGTACAAGATATAAACAATTGAATGTGCATCCAAAAATAAAATTGTATCCAAAATTATAGTGTATCCAACTACTTATCTACCAAATACACTAACTACTAATCTAACTAATAAACTAACTAGTAAAGTAACTAAAGTAACTACTAAACTAACTACTAAACTAACTACTAAACTAACTACTAAACTAACTACTAAACTAAGTACTAAATTAATAACTAAACTTGCCTACTTCTAACTTTAACAAACTTATCGGCCCATGTGTTTCTAATATCGTCAATGGTCTCTATGGGCAATGCTTCCACATGCGAAAATACATGTTACAAGAAAAAAGATAATTTAACGAGTATCCAATGACACAATACTTGGGTCTTTTATTGAATACTAAATTTAAGCAAACACTGATTCCATGTATCCTCAATCTTGCTAACAACAATCAGCCACATCCGATTGCATAACATAATATCCGCACTCATAAGATCCTGGTTGCCTATTACACTACAAAAAATAATATATTAATTTGACATATAAAATGAATGATATAATACATAAATATAAAATGACTTACATTAACAAAAATCCAATGCGGAGTCGTGCTTTTGCTTGTGTGTACTCCATCAATTGTATTGCAAACCTTAAATGCCTTGTGCAATACAAGATATAATGAAACAATTAAGTAACAAAACAATTAATAATTGTTTAAATTATTATAAGAATGTGTACTGTTTACAATGTTTTTAAGATCTGCATCGGGTTTCTTGCCCGAGTGAGCGAGAACCAAGCCACAACGATTACGCTTTGGGCAAACAACCAACAAGCGCCAATGATTTACGCTTACATTACAAAAAGTTAGGATAATACAATACACTATAAAATTTAATGCGAATAATTTCATACGCTTAAATACTTACTGA